AGTAGGAGTAGCAGCAGCATCGGCAGCATCGGCGGCGGCAGGCTAGTGAGAAGGATTCATTCTACGGCGACGGCCCCGCTGCTGCCAGCGGATCGATCGATACACACGCCGGCGAACGTACACGGGCCCTAGGGGGCAGCACTTATCGCTGTGGCGAAGACTCGGTGGTCGTGCGAGGGCTGGAGACAAGCGGTTATAGCGTTTGGTTGGCTAGAACACCGTAACGTGATCCACACTGCCGCCCTCACCAACATCACCCCCCCCCCCAACGCAGCCAGCGTCTTCTGCTCGCTGCAATCACGTCGGACCTACGTGAAGGCATCTACCCGAAAATTCAATGCCTCGTGGGAAGCGCGTGCATTCATTTCGCCGCATTAAACATATACACAGATGGCAACGTATACGAGGGGGTAAACTCCGGTAAGGATATATACGCGAGGGTTAATAATAAAACTTGAGATGCGATGTGAGAACGTGAAATAACGTCCCTAGTTTATGGGCCTCGCGTGAGGCCCGACATCCAAGAATGTTTCTTTGATATAAAATGCCCCACGTTGTTTGTTATATGAGTCATAATATACGCTATATAATTAAACAATAATATAACTCCCTTAAATTATCATTCCAATTCGGTTACGCTCTGAGGTCGGTCCAACCCCATTAAATTTCACGTGAGTTCTTTTGCAGATCGGGGGAATAATATATGCTCAGCACTATTGCATTCATCAGATTTTTTCACCATGAAAAACACTGTCTTCAGTACATCTATTTGAATTTGAATTACATGCAATAAAGATTTAATAATAATAATAATAATAATAATAATAATGGAAGGTGTGAAAACGAACGGTCACGTTCACATCGACAACTTATGAACCGATAAGGAGACTTACTACTGATATCGCATTTATGTAGTGCCTGGCAACAGCGCGCACAGCGACGTCTTCGCTGTCGGCATAGACGCGGGCTGATTCGTAATCTAGATGTAAACATTAGACGTGAGCAATGTCCAAAAGTCAGGTGTAGGGAGCAGCAGGCACGCGCGGCAGTCGGCAGGCATACCAGCGGGGCACCACCTAGTGCTGCTTCTTTAATCCTATATATATATATATATATATATATATATATATCAGGCGATTATATAATTATTAATTACGTGCTCCAGCGCTATTCTATCGCTGGAACAACACGCCCTTCCTAAACATTTGATTTGATTGGGATTTTTGTAGTCATCCTGGGCGTCTCGACGGACGCATCGAAGTTAACATTTATTTTCGTCCTCCAGTGCGAATCCTTCTCACGCCATTACCCACACGCTTTACTCCTTCTCCCCCACAGGTAGATTGCCTCTGAGATCGGCGTGCAGTGTTTGGGCCGTGTGATGCGCTCGTGACACGCGGTACGTCACACTTTCAAACGCCGATCGCTGCATCTGTTTCGCAAACGTGCGAATGACGTACGTACCAATTTCTCGCGTAGATTGATTCGCGTATGCGTTTTAATTTTTGCACATTTACGTACGTTCCCCGAGCTCTCCACTAGCACAGAATCAGTGATGATGCGATGCGCAGGTAGGCTGTTTGATAATGTTTATAATGATTATGATTGATAAGGTGTCACCCCGGCGCTGATATACCCGACGTCCATCGAGACTACGTCGGCGATTGCACAGTTTGACCGCTGCCTTAACCTTCAAAAAACCTTAACGAACAAACTACGATG